CTTGACAGAAATTCAGAATGCACGCGGTATCATGGATGTTCTTGCCGAAATGCTCAATGCTATAGATCCTGGGAACAAAGAGGTAAATATGAAAGGGAAAGTTTGCTTATTGTTAGCACTGAAGCTTGCTTAGAGAATGATCTTTATAATTGATGCAAAGGGCTCATATATATTGTAAAAGTAAAATGGAAATGAATATTTAGTTGTATGAGATTTTTCCCTCACGAAATTGGCCAGTCATTTGAATTCTGGCTACATGCTACTTTCGTTCTATATTTTCTTGATCCATATGTTTTCTTCACAATTTTTTAATACACTTTGGATTCAGTTTAAGAATTCATTTCTATCTGTTGGCAGGGACTTAGACAAGAGGTAATTGTTGATCTGGTGGAACAATGTCGTACATATAAGCAAAGAGTGGTACATCTTGTTAATTCGACTTCGTAAGGCCCTGATATACCTTCCCTTCTGCTAAACACTTGCATGTTTATGTCACACAGCATATGCAACATGTCAATGTGGGTTGGAGCTTATTTGTATTTCATGTTTTTCTCAAGTTGTTTATGAACTGGCAGGAAGGAATAAGGTATTGAGAGCAATAACTGACATATTGAAATTGTGAAAACATAGAATCATTTAACAGATGACATGGCCTCGAATAGTTTGTGAAGGACAATTGTTTTTTGTCCAATTCATTTTGCCCTTTTCAGTTTGATGTTAATGAAATGGTTTCTTTTTTCTATTAATTTAATGCCTGTAGAATAACCTGTAGTCATCTCTGTTGGGCATGTCCAGAATGCATCATATGCTTCTGGTCTGCTTTGTGCAAGCTTAAATTGGTGGTGAAGGTTGATGATTATAATATATTTATCAGCTCTCTCTTGGAATCAAGAGTCACATGTGAGGAGGAATTAAGTCCACTTCAAGATAAAAATCATCAGGCTTTGGTATATTATATTGGATGGAGAACGGCCATGTTGACACTTGAAATGTGTTTTATATAGCTGAACTACTTTGTGGGTGCAGAAGTTAATTTTGTGGAAAGGATGATCTTTCGGCTCAGTTTCTTGGTAGCATCTCGATGAGTGGTAACCTCTACGAAAGTCCTGAAGGCAGCGACCTAATTGGAGTAGGGATGTGATTTATACGAGTCTTGCAATTGATGAGTATATTAGCAAGTTTCTGTCCCGTTCCCATCATGACTGATCAATTGCACAGCCCTTCAGCAATGGAGAACAAAGAACCCACTAGACTCCCATGCAGTATTTTTCACATGGTCTTTGCATGTATCATTTATCATGTGTAACATGATTATTACTTTTGTCATGTTGGATAGTATTATGGTTAGGCTTATTTGGTGAAGAACTCAACTCATTGTTTTACTGAATTTAATATATACATGATGTAGGGATGAATCGCTATTATGCCAAGGACTAGCACTGAATGATGACCTGCAACGTTTGTTGGCTAAGCATGAAGCAATTGCTTCCGGAGCAACCACTGTTCAGTCAGACAAATCAAAACCAAAACCTGAACCTGTTCGATCCCTGGTAGATGTTGATGCTCCTCTTATTGACACTGGAGATAAAGGGTAAAATGTGATTACTCTTGAAGGATGAATTAGATTGTTAATGTATTGGTATTGGCCTTTTTGTTTGTTTATGGATGTTAGTACCTGTCCGTGTTAAAAAGTATTATTTATGGTGTCATTTGAAAATTGAAATTGTTTGGCCTTGACTCTGATGTGCTCACATATATTCCATGAGCTTTGCATTTTGAACCTTTTTAGGGGAGGGTAGGAAGAGGACCTGAAAAGGATATGGACAGTGTAGATAATTTTCAACAATTTTGGAACTTCTTTTCTTCAGGATTTATTGTGTTGGATATCAGATTACTTCTTAAAGAGCAAAATGGATTTGTTGACCCTTTTAAACTAAAAAACTTCCTTTGTATGTACTATTAGTATAAATTATTTATCCAGTGTAACCCTCTTCAGTACCTGGTAGTTAAAACAAGGGAAAAAGAGAAGGTTATTAGTCGATATACATTCTGTGGGCTGCATCTCCTTATATTTATGGCCTTACTTAGAAGACCGAAACATAAAGTTTCAAAGTTGAACATTTTGTTGACCTCCTAGCTGCCGTAGCAATGTTTGTAGATTTTACCATCAACATTCTCTACATGTCATATGTTTTTGGATATTTTTTAGACTACCTAGCTCTGAACTTGTTTGTTTTACTGTGTGTTTTTGGGTAGTAGGACTCTGGTTTGATAATATGTTCTTAACATCAATAATCTGACTGCCTTCTTTTTATTTGCAATCTACTGATAGTTCTGGCTCAGGGAAACAGTTAGCTCTTCCTGCTCCCCCTGCATCTAGTGGTCAATCAACAACTCCAACGAAGGCTGATCCTAAGATAGATCTTTTGAGTGGAGATGACTTCTCATTGGCAATTGTTCCAGTGGGAGAGCCTCAGCCGGCCAGCCCTGCTGCATCTCAGCAGAATGCCCTCGCACTTATTGACATGTTTTCACAGAGTAATAATATCCCCTCTTCGAATTCTGTTGGACAAGCGCATCCTTCGTCCCCTCAATTTCAGCAACAACAGAATTTTCAATATCCAAAGTCACCATTATCTCCAAATGGAACTGTTTCTGGTCCAATGTTTCCCCAAAATGAACTGTCACTTTACTCACAAGGCTCAACCTCTCCATGGAATGGTCAAATAACCCAGCAACAGCAGCCACCCTCACCAGTTTATGGTGCGTATATCTCTTCTTCTTTCTTTATTTATTTATTTTGTTCTTTGAAACTAGTTTATTTTTGTTTTTCAATTATGTAAACGTTCAGAATTCTCCATCCCACCCACCCACTCCCCAGCACTCACGCGCCAAAGAAAAAAAAAATCCTGCATTTTAGAGAATATGAAGAAATTATCGTTTAACTGTATTCCAAATATGTTGTAGTTGGAAAGATTTGTTTCAAAAACAATTATTTTCTTCGACCTACGAGTTTAGAATATTATTAGTGGCCACTCGACTCAACTGCAAGCATGTCATTCCTAATACATGGAAAATATAATCTTGGTTTTCTTGGGCTATATTTCATTCGGATCTATGCTTATTTTTGTTTGATAGGTGCTCAAAATAGTGGTGCATTGCCACCTCCACCGTGGGAATCTCAACTAGACAATAGCCAGTTTGGCAATAATCAGTCTCCTCAGCGAATGCAAGTGACAACACAATTAACAATCACCCACTCGCAGCCATTTCCCAGTGGCACATATCTTCCAGGCTCACCTGTGGCCAATGATCAGGTAGTCGGCATGTACATTCAGCCAATTGCCACTGGCAATTTTACAGCAATCAACAACCAGGGTATGGGATTGCATCCTCAATCAATCCAGGGTCCACAAATGGGTATGTTTTCTCATCCAGTGCAATCCGGTCAAATGGCTTATATGTATCCTCAACAGACGTATGGAAATCAAATGGCGAACTATGGCTATGGTTACGGCCAACAGCAAAATACTCAGGTTTTCGAGCAAAACATGTCCAGGTTATCTATAAGGGACGACAGCATCTTGAGAAATAATTCCTTTTCTTCAGCTCCAACGCCCGCATCCTCGTATGTCCCAAGGCCCTCGAAGCCAGAGGACAAACTCTTTGGGGACCTAGTTGACATTACTAAATTTAAACCATCGAAAACTACTCCGGGTAGAGCTGGAAGCATGTGACATGACCTTGCCTTGTATTTTGTTTGCTAACTTGGTGTGGACCGATTTCAGATCTTAAGATTTTTTTGGGTTAAAATTTCCACTAATATATTTTCTTCTTTTTGGTCCATTGTGTTGCATTTTTTCTTTGTTTGCGGTTTCTTTACATTAGAATCATGTATATTTCTTGTAGAAATAAACACATAAAAGAAAGGAAAAAAACATTTAATTGTTTATGGTAAGTAATGTTAGACCAATATCTCGAATCTGCAAATTGCAATGCTATCATTATCATCTCGTTGTCCTGTATTTTGGCTGCTTTCAATTTTCAGTGAAATTCATGTGCACGTCGCAAGGAATACACTTCTTTCTGGTAAACATGATGTATTGAACTCATACTAGAGAGAAAAGTTTTCTTGATTGTGATCAACTTAAACAATTTTCATACTCGATTTCCATTTAAAAAATAAAATAAAGAGCCTGTTTGGGGGTGATTTTGAGAATTAATTTTTTGACCATTAAGATAAAAGTGGGGTTCACCAGTGAGAGAAGAAGTTAAATATGACGATTGAAATAGTTAAATAACGGTCAAAAAAATCAATTTTTTGGGTCAAAAAATCACTCCCAAACAGGTTGAAAGTGTGCTTCTTGAGTTGAAACTTGTGTTCAACGTTCTATACAAGTTTTGTCTAAATTCGAATTGGAAAATTTTTGGCACACTGCATGTGGTGCAGTGTCTATATGTGTCCATGATAACGAAATCGAACACAAAGTGAAAGTCTTTACGCCATTGTTAGATTGAGCATTGTTGGAGAAGCTTAAACGTGAATTTGAACATAGTGAAAATGTAAAATGAAGTTAATTCAAGAAGTAACTTGTTTTTACCTCTGAAATTGTTTATTCAAATGTTTCCAGAGGCCAAAAATCACTAAAAAGTAATTTTACCTTTCATGGGGATTTTTAACTTACAAGTGTAGTAAACAATGGATCAAAGATGTTGGGAAAAAAAATAAATAAATAAATAAATAAATAAAATATATATATATATATATATATAGAAAATGCAATATGTACCTGTAGGCATCCTCCATCAGTAAGTAGTAAGCCAATGACCTTCGCTTCCTTCAATTTTGGCAAAACTTCCTGAAAGTAAAAACTGGGAGAAGCAGAACTTTTTGGTTTGAAAATTGGAAACTGCTTATGCTTCCTGGCCTCCTTAAAGCCAAGTGGTAGGTCGTGTACGACGGTCACATCATTTGTTAACGCTTCTGACTACCAGAAAGTTTGATGGACCGCCCCTCACCGGATCCTATAAAAATGCACAATCAGATTATAAAGTATTCTCACGCGTCATCTGAAGTTCACGCTGATCTCTGGTAAGCTTCTATTTTCTGTTCATTCATATCTCTTTATGAATTATATCTTTTACTTGAATATTTTTTTATCAGTGCTTTTTGTTAATCTTAGTCGCGTGCGAAGAATTTTGAATTCCTGTTTGATTAATGGGATAATTTAGGTCAGTAGGCATGTTTTCTTAAAGATTTGATTGTCATGTTTAACAAATTTATATTTTTCTAATATGAATTGTTTTCGATTGATTAAGCTTTGAAGTGAATTGTGGATTTCAGAAGTAGAGCAGAAAATGCAGGTTAGTATCGTTTCTTTTGTAATTCCTTTTGTCATAGCGGTTTTTGTCATTATGTATTAGATTATTTTCTTTTTATATGTATTTGTAAGATTTCTTTGGATTGGAAGCTCCGGAAATTACTGGTATTTACTACTTAGTGAAATTTAATAGTATCTTTTGTTTGGTTGCTTGCAATTAGGCTTTACACTTGCAAAACACATTTTTTGTTGGTTCTTCTCCTCATTTATAACTGAGGTTTTCCAGGAATTTCATGGTACTATCATTAACTTAAATTTTTTTAATGTTTATTGGTTTTACCCTGTTTTCCTGCATTAAGTTTTTTATGGTTTTGAGAGCTCGTGATGTATAATACAAATGTGATAACTGGGAAGACCAGTGTTTCCAAATTAATTGGTAGAAAGTAGAGAAGGGTAATTGTTTGATAGGGGTAGTTCGGGACAAAAATGTATTACGAATGTGGATGTTAATTTATGACATCTCAGATAGGAACAGAAGGTGTTTGATTGAGCATTGAGGAAGTACTAAATTGGGGCAGCATGGAAATGGGCCTTTTCTTTTTCTAAATGAATCTATTTGTCATTAATAATAAAATGGAAAACCGCGTGTAGAAGTATTGAAGATGAATTTGTATCTCTTGTTATATTGCAAAGTACTGAATCTGTACAAATTTAGATCTTTGATAATTCGATGGACTGGTAAAAGATGAACAATAACTTTGCCACATGTAAAGGAGAGGGGGAATCTTTCATCTTTGATAACGGTAGAAGGATATTCATATTAGGTTGGATTTTGCACTGGGTTCAGGAACAGAGAGAGTGACAAATTTATTGTACCTTGACCTGCTATTGCAGCTAAAGTGCCATCAGCTATTTTAACCTTGTTATTTCCGGAATATGGACTAATATGTGGAGAAACGAATTAAGAATTTGTCATATGGTCACTAGAACCTGAATCAATTACCCAGGGGCTTGAGAAACAATCTTTTGAGGTACGAAAAGCATGAGAATCAGAATACTTACATGAGTGTGCTAAAAAAAAAAAAAAAAAAAAAAACACCTAAAAAAAAAAGCACCTGATAGGAATCTCCTTTTTGTTGAAACCTCCAATTTCAGAATTGTTTGTTGCATTTCTTGACGGGAGTTTTCAGAATGAACATCTGCAAGTTGAGAAGCCACTGCGACAACATTGTTGTTTACCTCAAATATTCCTAACATTTTATGGCTCTTTTATGGATGGTGATGACTGGAAAAATAATTTGATCTAATACCGCATTAAGACCTGGGGTTCTATGTTAAAGGTCAATCTTGTCAAGACAAATAGCTCAAGACCTTCTATGTTGGTTGTTTATTTTATAATCTTTTGATGTGGGGGTATCCCTTAACATGCCCTTACAAAATGGTGGTTTGTTTAAGCAGATCCATCTCGAAATCGCGTGTCTAGTTTTATAATCTTAATTGGGTAGAATTATGTGCTCATTTTGAGTCATAATTGGGTAGAATTGCCGTTTGAGTTTAATGGGTTTTGATATCATGAAGATGAATGTGTATCGCTGGTTATATTACAAAGTCATGAATCTGTCCAATTATATAGTTGGTTTGTAATTTAGAGAAAGGGGATAAATTAACTTCCTAAAAATGCTAACCTGCAATCATGGGATATTCTAAAAATCAGCCGTAATTTATGGAACCAAGTAGCAATCAGCCTTAAGCAAATCAGCCTTTGACTTCCATTTTATAATCAGCTAATTATTGATTGATTTGTCAACAAGTATAACAAAAAATCTTTAAATATGATTAATTCATGACTCCGTGTCTGTAGCTCCATTCTTTACCAATGGTTTCAAAGGCCCTTAAGTGCAGTTTAAAATAATAGTAAAAAGTGAAAAGACAATTTGGAGCATGTTGACTTCCATTTTATAATCAGCTAATTATTGATTGATTTGTCAACAAGTATAACAAAAAATCTTTAAATATGATTAATTCATGACTCCGTGTCTCTAGCTCCATTCTTTACCAATGGTTTCAAAGGCCCTTAAGTGCAGTTTAAAATAATAGTAAAAAGTGAAAAGACAATTTGGAGCATGTCGCCTTGGGGTTAAAATTAAAGAACAATTTTCATAAGCATTTCAAGTGACATTTTTCGGGCTTGAAGTTCTCAAAGTTGTAATATTGATTCTTTTTTATTGTTTATATTAGTATCTGTTTTGGTAATTTTTTTTGAGAATGAGCTTTTTTTGTAAGTAGGCATCAAGGGCTAGGCTTTTTAAGGAATACAAAGAAGTTCAAAGAGAGAAAGTAGCCGATCCCGATATTCAACTTGTTTGTGATGATTCGAACATATTTAAATGGACAGCTCTTATAAAGGTGAGGTTCTGTGTTGTTTAGGGAGCTTTATTATGTTGCCTTTTATTTTGGGGAAATGCATAGCAGCAGTCGTGTTGCTCAACTCTTTAGTGTATATAGGGGCCATCAGAAACTCCTTACGAAGGTGGAGTTTTCCAACTTGCATTCTCTGTTCCTGAGCAGTATCCTTTGCAGCCACCTCAAGTGCGATTCTTAACCAAAATTTTCCATCCAAATGTGCATTTTAAGGTGATTCTTGTCTTTTCTCTCTTTCTTTTATGGTTTTTGCCCTGCAAGTGCAATGAATAAGGTAAGAGATCAAAGGGTGAAATGCAATTCATCTAGTATGAAATATAACATAATTGGCATTTCCACTATGATTAATGGATAAATATAATTGGCTTATGACTGGTATTTGTCAACCAAAGGAACTGACTTCAGGTAGTTCTCTCGAATGAATGCTGATACACAATCAGGCAGTGAGACAGCACTGCCATTATAAGGAAATAAATAGTTGGATTAAATGCATTAGGGTACAATAAATACCTCTAATTCTTGCCAAACAGGTGTGATGGTTTCAGTGTAGAGGATCGTGACTTACCAATGGCACCAGTAAAACTAATTTCTCTATTAAAAATTAAATGAAGAAAGGCTAGGAGTTAAAGAGGGAGTTTAATTTAAGCTTTGTGCTCAC